GGTTCCCGCGCCGGCGCCAGTGCCCCGGACCGACGAGAGCCGGGCGAGGCCGGCGGCGGGAGGGCCATGCCTCGCCTCCGCCTGCTGCTGCCGCTGCTGCTGCTGCTGCCGCCGCGTCCGGGCGCGAGCCACGCGGGCCCGCCGGACGGGGCGCAGGAGCCCCTCCCGGGCCTGCGGGAGCGGCTGAGGGAGGCCGCCGCCCTGTCCCGGCGCTACTGGGCGCTCCTGCGCTGCCGCGTGTGGCCCGAGGACTGCGACGGCGACGAGGAGGCTCGCGCGGGGCCCCTGGGTAAGAGGGGCCGCCGGGGCTCCGCGGCGCCGGACGAGCGCCGGCCTGGGAAGCTGGGCGCCGCCGGGGACCGAGCGGCCCGTCCCCCTGTCCCCGGCGGGGCCCCCTGATGCCCCCGGGAGGGCCTGGCTGCCCTGCCCACGCCTCCCGTCCCTGACCCCTCCAGACGGCTCACACTTCCTGGAGTCTGCCAGTCCGCCCTGGCTCATCCCGGGAGCTGCTCTTTCCCACCTCCGTCTTGGCTTTACGGAAAGCCCCCGGTCGGCCACAACCCCAGCACCTTCTCTCCTCGGCTGCCGACGGGGGCGGAGCTGGGCCTGGAGTCCTGGACCTGTGTTCTCCGTCCGGCTCCGGCCCTGACAAGTCGTGGGGCAGGGCTGTCACTTCACTGCCCTGGACGGAGATGGCTTCTGAGGCCCCTTGCAGTCTATGGTAGATCCTTCTGGGTCTTGTAATACGATTGTAATGGCAATCCTGCAGTGGTGCCCTAAACAGCTTTCATTTAAATCAAAAGATTTCTAAATCCCAGCGAGTGGCTTTCGGTTTGTTTTTGCTCGTGCTGGGTGTATTCAAGTTGACATTTGGCAAAGGAATTGAGAGGCCCTTGGGGTTCACATGATTTCAGATCTTGAAGCAAACAGGAGGAATGATGATCAGCAGCTACTGCTTGACTCCTTCCGAGACTGCCAGCTCCTTGTGGGCAGGTCTGGCACCCAGTGCTTAAGGCATATCTGTTGAGTGAACTGAGCCTTTGCTGGAGCGGTATCCCCGCTGGGTGGTAATTGGGTGGACGGGGTGCCCCCTCCGGCCCATGCCCTGAAAAGGGCAAGGAAGGCCCAGGGAGGAGTGAGGGGTAGCTCCGGAGCGGGGACAGAGGACCGGAAGGACTGCTCTGCTTGGTTGCGGGGAGGCAGTGTCCGCCTTCCCCAAGCCATAGGCCCTGTGCCCGTCTCACAGGCCCCCCTTTCCAGGCTGGAGCCTTCCCCTGCTGGGCCGGCAGTACCTGGACATCCTGACCTCCTGGTACTGCAGCTTCCAGGACTGCTGCCGCAGCGGTGACTGCAGGATCTCCAACAACCTCACAGGTCGGACCTCGCGGGGGCCGAAGGGGCTCGGATCTGTGGGGAGGAGAGGCGATTGAGGGGGGAGCGGCTAGGGCGCAGGGTACCTTTCGTCATCCTGCCTGTGGCCGACAGCACACCCTCCCTGTCTCCACCCCGACTCCCTGGAGCCCCTGTCCCCAAACCCTGTAACCTCATGGCTGGAAGGAACTAAGGCCTAGCAGAGGACTTTGAACACACTCCCTGCCCTCAACAGGTGTTTGCTGAATTGAATTTATTCATTTGAGGGTGTCTCCATAAAGTATTGGGGGGGGGGTCCTGAAATTTCTGGGCGGAAGCAGCCTCATGGGCCTAGGGGCTGGGTTCCCTCCTCCGGACAGGACTTTGCCAACCATGCTGGGGTGTCTTCAGGGCCTTCAGAAAGGGTGATTCCTTCTCTCCCTAAATTCAATCTTGATTTTTCCAGTTCTTCAGAAAATAGCCCTTGAGCTCGTTCTCCCACCTCCTGCAGAAAATCAGCAGTTAATATTGGTGCTCTTGGCCAGAGTTCAGCACAAGTGGGGGGGAAGCGGGGGGGGGGGATTTATAAATTTAGTTAATTTCAGCTGCTCACAAACGTTAAATGCAATTCAACTAATAGTCTATAAATCAAACTAAAATTACAGGGAAGCCTGGGTGGCTCACCTTCCACTTTCCTCACCCGAAGTACGTTGAGTGTCTGACTTTGGCTCAGGTCATGATCTGACCGTGAGTTCGAGCCCCGATTTGGGCTTGCCTTTGTCAGTGCAGAGTTCTCTTGGGTCCGCCGCCCCCCTCTGTCTCTGCCCCTCCTCTGCTGGCGTGCGCATGCTCTCTCCCTACCTCTCTCAACATTAAACAAACAAAAAAAGGGATCCAAGATACACATCCATAAAATATCACGCTAGTAAAGTGTTTGTAACAGAAAATAGCCCTTGAATCCCTTCGGGTGCAAGATCTTCACGGTGGTTTCTTATTTTGAGGCCAAGAAGTCTGGATAGGTGATCCCCGCTTAGAGATGTTCAGAGGCTCAACCTCCCAGGGACCGTGCCCATGTGCACCTGACCATGGCTCCCTCTGTCCTGCCCCCAGGCCTGGCATCGGACCTGAGTGTACGACTGCACGGCCAGCATCTGGCCCGGGAGCTGGTCCTGACAGCCGTGAGGGGCTACTTAGAGCCGCCGCAGCCACACAAGGCCCTGGCTCTGTCGTTCCACGGCTGGTCTGGCACAGGCAAGAACTTCGTGGCGCGGCTGCTGGCGGAGAACCTCTACCGGGATGGGCTGAGGAGCGACTGTGTCAAGGTGTTCATCGCCACCTTCCACTTTCCTCACCCGAAGTACATGGACCTGTACCAGGTGAGGCTGGGCAGTGCTAGGGATAGCTTTGCCAGCCGGGCGGAGGCCGGAAAGAGGCTCAGACAGCCCGAGCGGCCGGCCTCCGTTGGGGGAGGGAGGCCCTGAAGCCAGCCATCCCCTGCCGGGAAGTGGGCCTCGGAGAAGCCCAGGTGTGGGAGCGGGTGGCCGCCGTGACAGAAGCTGTAAGCCACACAGACATCCCCCCCCACACAGGTGAAGTCCTGGACACGTGGAAGGAAGGCTTCTATCCCAAACACCACCTGTCTCGAGCTGTCTCATCAGCCAGACGCTAAGCTTGAACAGAGAACCCACGTGTTAATTGTTCTAGAAATAGTGGCAATGTAGGAAACGTGCAGCAGAGAAAAAGCAAAAGCTTTATCATCATCTCCACACCCGGACGCAACCACGGCATTTTGGTGTACTTTCTTGTAGCCTTTCCTCTGTACTGTTTTATGTCATTGTGATTAATGTTGGAAAGGAAGTTGCAGATACTGTTTTTTTTTTTTAAAGAGGCACATCACATAAGATTTTCCACGTCTTCTTCAAATCGCTCATCACACACCAATAAGCAGATGGACAAAAACTGTCCGTGCCGTTCTGCTGATTTGGGTTTCTTCATTGAGACACGTAGGATTTCAGATAAGCCAGACGATGACCCAAACCGCTTTCAGTACAACAGAGATTACTAATTACTACATCTCTTTCGGCTTTTAGTTGCTATATTTGCAGTGTGTTAACCTGGGAAGATGATGTAAGCCTCTGCAGACAGAAATTGCCTGAGTCACCTGGCAGCTTCAGCTCAGTCCTGGAGGGCAGAGGTGGCGTGACGTGTCCCAAGGGCTGGCGACTGGCCGCCAGGTCTTCCCAGAAAGAGCAGAACTGCTGTGGATCTGTTTTCCGCTGTGAAAACTGACATGTGCACACTCGCTCTCACACCGTGCACACCACACACACACACACAGTGACAGGGGCCCGAAGGCAGAATCCAGGGATATTAGAGGTGGACACTGAGTGTGGGCTCTGCTGACACCCACCCCGGGCAGGAGCCGGCCCTGCTCTCCTGGTGAGCCCTGCAGGGCGGCTCCTCTGAGGGGTCAGCCTCGCCCGAGGACTAGTGAGCACTTGCTCCTGGGAGTTCAAGACCGGCGGCCGTGGCCAACACTGGGCACTTGAGCCTGCTCTGCCCATCTCTCCTATGGTAGAGCCTGCCTCCCGCCCCTAGGGAGGGTGCCTGGACGTGCTGGGACAGGACCTCGTCCTGGAGCACAGGGAGCAGGACTAGGGCTGGGGCCTGGTTCCTCTTCACAAACCGTGGGTGCATGAGAATCACCTGGGAAGCTCCTTAGAGGTGTAGGCCCTCGCCCCGCCCCCCGAGGTTTGGACTGGTAGGCCTGGGGTGGAAGCCGGTGATGGTGATGCGTTGCAGATGGGCTCCCTGGGGCCCTGGCGGCTGCAGGGTGGGGATGTGCTTTCCCGGCTCCCCAGCTCCCAGCAGCTCCCCGTATTCCGTGCAGGAGCAGCTAACAAGTCAGATCAGGAAGACACAGGAGCGCTGCCCCCAGACCCTGTTCATTTTCGACGAGGCCGAGAAGCTGCATCCAGGACTGCTGGAGGCCCTCCGGTCACACCTGGAAGCCCAGGCCCCCGAGAACCACAGGGTCGAGTCCCCGAGAACCGGCTTTCTCTTTCTCAGGTGAGGTGTGAGCAACAAGGGCAAGAGGGCTGGGTAAGGGCAGGGAGAGCGCTCGGCCCCGGGCCGCGCCTGCCAGGCTCCTCGAGCGGCTGGCGGGAGCGGCTTCCACGCTCTCCGAGGCTGCAGACCCTTTTCCCGCAAAGGGAAACCACACACCCCAGTGGAGAAAACAGAAGCCCAGCCTCTTGGGTGGGGGCAGGGGTGGGGAGCCCTCCGTCTCCCAGGTCCTGCCCTGATCCTACCGCTGAGGAGGGATTCTGCCTCCCACCCTGACCCCCACCGCCGGCGCCGGCCACCCTTCACTCATCTGTCCTCTCCCATGGCTGTGTTAGGGTGGGGAGGCTCCCCTCCGACCCCCCGGTTAGTACATGGCCTCCTCAGGGAGGGACCACTCACAGGGGATCCCCTCTTAGAAGGGCATTTTGGGGATTTGTTTTTCTTGACGTATAATTGACACAGAGCATTAGTTTCAGGTGCTCAGTGGGATTCGCTATTTGGCTATTTGTATATATCCGTATTGCAAAATGGTTGCAATTAGTTAACACCCGTCACCATGCGCAATTACACTTTTTCCTGATGAGAACTTTCAAGATCTAACATCAACACCTATCAGATATGCAGTGCAGCATTGTTAACTAATTGCCCCTGACCTCTGGCAACCACCCATCTGTTCTTGGTATTTGTGAGCTTGGTTTGTTGTTGTTCTTGTTGTTTTAAGATTCCACACGCGAGTGGGATCATACGGTATTTGTCTTTCTGTGACTTATTTCATTTAGCATGATGCCCTCAAGGTCCATCCATGTTGTTGCAAACGGCAAGATTTCATTAGGAAATTTATGGAGTTTTATGAATAATACTCCATTGTGTGTGGGGCGGAGCACATTTTTGTCATCCATCCATTGATGGACACTTAAGTTGTTTCCATATTTTGGCTGTTGTAAATAATGCTGCAGTGAACGTGGGGGCATGTATATCTTTTTGAATATTTTAATTATCTTTGGATAAATACTCAGAAGTGTAATTGCTGGATCATATGGTAATTCTACCTTTAGCTTTTTGAAGAGTCTCGTGTTTACTGGTAGCGTCTGCATCAGTTTACACTCCCACCAACAGTGCACAACGCTTCCCTTTTCTCCACATCCCCAGTAACACTTGTTATTGCCTGTCTTTTTGGTTATTGCCATTCTAACAGATGTGAAGTGACATCTCATTGTGGTTTTGATTCGCATTCTCATGATGATGAGTGATCATTCACCTTTTCATGTACCTGTTGGCTGTCTGTATGTCTTCTTTTGAAAGATGTCTTTTCAGATCTTTTGCCCATTTTTAATCAGATTATTTTTGCTGTTGAGTTGTATGAGCTTTTTTTTTTTGAATTTTTTTAATGTTTTTGTTTTTGAGACAGAGAGCATGAGCAGGGGAGGGGCCGAGAGATGGAGAGACACAGAATCTGAAGCAGGCTTCATGCTCTGAGCTGTCAGCACAGAGCCCAACACGGGGCTTGAACTCACAAACCACGAGATCATGACCTGAGCCGAGGTCAGACATTTAACCGACTGAGCCACCCAGGCGCCCCTTTAATGTTTACTTTTTGAGAGAGAGGAAGAGAGAATCCCAACAAGGCTCTGTGCTGATAGTGTAGAGCCTGATATGGGGCTTGATCTTAAGAACCATGAAATCTTAAGAACCATAACCTGAGCCAAAATCAAGAGTTGGACACTTAATCGACTGAGCCATCCAGGTACTCCTGTATGAGCTTTTTGTATTTTTTGGATATTAACCCTTATCAGATATATAACTTTACAGTGCTTTATCCCATTCAGTAGGTTGCTGCTTCATTTTGTTGGTTTCCTTTGCTGTGCAGAATTTTTTAGTTTGATGTAGTCCCACTTATTTTTGCTTTTGGTGTCCTATCCAAAAAAAATCATTGCCAAGACTGACGTTCGAGAGCTTTTCTAAGAGTTTGATGGTTTCAGGTCTCACGCTGCATCTAATCCATTCTGAGTTAATTTTTGGGTATGGTGCAAGACAGTTATCCAGTTTTCATTCTTTTGTCTGTGGTGTTCAGTTTTCCCAATACCATTTATTGAAGAGACTGTTCTTTCCCCGTTGTATATTCTTGCCTCCTTTGTCATAAATTAATTAACCATATATGTATGGGCTTATTTCTGGGCTCTTTTGTTCCACTGATTTATGTGTCTGTTTTTATGCCAATACCATGCTGTTTTGATTATGGCCTTGTAATATAGCTTGGAATATAATTCACACACTGCGAGTCCTTTCTTAAAAGAGCATTATGTTTTCAAATCAGCACATTTGTTGAAAATTAGGTACAAACTACCTTTGAAAATTCCCCAGGTAGACCCAGGTGGAGGGTGGTTTCCCACTAAGTCCAATATGGCTAGCTCTTTCTCCAGACTTGGAAGGTCTGGTTCTTCTGTGATCACGAGGGGAAGTCGCTGGCTTGAAATTCAGGGTATGATGTGTTGAATGAAAAGCTCACGCTTTCACACCTGGTTGAGATTTGCAGCGAGGCCATGCAGGACTCTTGACCATTATACTGCACTTCCTGTTTGGTTTGCCCATATGCTCTGGAAATGGCTTTGTAAGAAAAATTGAGAAATCAGCTTGTTCAATCCTATCTTTTTATGGTGGCTCCAGCTGGGAAAGTCCTGCCCAAGGTCTGTTAGAAGTCAGGTTTGGGACCCTGCTGGCCCAACCCGAAATGCTTCACAAGCAGCCAATACAAGGCACAAGGTACTTCTCACCCTCAGCAGGCCAGTACATGCTTGCTAGGGGATTTCCTTCAGTTTTGGGTGCACCCTGTGAAGGTGGAGAGATAGGGAGTCTGGTTTTTTCATCTTGCTTGGAGCATGTCAGGGAGCAAGGCGTGGAAGGCAGCTCTTGTTTCATTGTGGACCCGCAAGGCAAGATGGAACCAGTTGCAACTGCTGCCAGGTTGGGATTTCAGTGATTGATGGCAAGTCCTTCCTTCCTGGTCTATAATTCAGGCTTATGGGACACTACAGTGCCCTGGGAAGAAACGCAGCCGGGGGTGGGTGCTCCCAAGGTGATTTTAAAAGAAAAGCAGAGAGAAAAGCGGACGTTTTTCTGACCTGAGCCGCAGTGCCAGGGCACTGACTTCCCCACTCAGTTCTCCGCCTGGACAACCCTCCCCAGTGCTAGGATTTCCTCATACGACCCAAGTGACCTTGCAGTCTCTAGGCAAACATTTGTCTTCATAGTATTTTGGTCATTGACCTACCAGCGGTGCCCCAGTCCCCTCTAGCCCTGCCCTTTCCCCTAGTGACCTGGCCTTTACGCACCATCTGAGGCCATGCGGTCACCAGTCAATGGATGTAATGCTGGGGTGGCAGCCGGGCCTGGGGAGAGAGCCCCCGGGGGAAAAGCCCCATGTGGGCCCCCACTTGCTGGGGGATGGAGAGGCCATGCCGGCCATCAAGGAACCCTCTGGGGAGGAGGGCGCACACCTGGGACAAGGGTCTCCAGCTCTAGCGGTTCTGGTGCCGGCCTGTGTCCCACCTGGGAGAGTCATTGGCCCTTGACAGGCCTGGGCGTTCACCACCCGGAGCCCTCAGATCAGCCAGGCTGGCAGCGCAGCTCAGTGCCGTCCCCACTCCTGCCCCTGGGGGTCCAGAAAGCAGCCCTTCTACACCCTGAAGGCTTTCGGGCACAGATCTTCCTCAGCCTGTGATGGGACTATGTCCCAATAAGCTCGTGGTAAATTGAAAACACGTTTGACACACCTGACCCGCCGGACACGGTGGCTTAGCCCAGCCTACACCAAATGTGCTCGCAACACGCGCCATTAGCCTACAGTGGGGAAAACCGTCGAAGGTGAAGCCCATGTGGCAATGAATCGTTGATGAATACTGTACTGACAGAAACAGCGTGGTTGTGTGGGTGCAGAATGGCAGTAAGGGTTTCGGTCGTTGGCCCTTGTGATCACGTGGCTGGCTGGGCGCTGTGGCTGCTGCCCAGCATCCCAGCTAAGGATCGTACCGTGCGTCGCTAGCCCAGGGAAAGATCAAAACTCAAAGATTTCTGAATGCTTACTGCATCTGCACCATTGTAAAGTCGAAAAGTTGGAAGTCAGGGACCCTCTGTGTTCCAGGGATGGGTCGGGACAGCATGGGAGTCTCTGGAGTTGACTTCTATAGTGGCCTCACCACCGGTGTGCTGAGGGCTCTTGGGTTTGGCAGAAAGGCACAGCTGATTCAAACTGCTGGTGGGGACTGGTTACACTGTTTGAGGCCAGCAGCTGAATCCTGAAAAAACTCCTCAGCCTGCTGTTTGAAGCAAGGCGCCAGTGGCTTTGCAGGCTGCCCTATGGTGGCATCGGACGGCAGCAGGGAGGCGGCGGGAGCGGTGGCGGGGTGTCCTGGGTGGTAGGCTGGAGTCGGGCTGATGATTCTCACTCGCTTCTACCAAGTGGAGCTCTAATGGGAGCTCTTGGCCTCTTCTCGGTGATGCTGTGAGGTGAAAGGGGAGTTAACGTCTGTTCTGTTCTCTTTGGGCTGTTGTCAGGGAAAGAACAGAAAGGGCTTTTTGAAGAATTAAAAGAATGTGAATTTTTCATGGAATCAAGGGCCTTGTACCCCAGTGCACAGAAGATGCTTGTAGAAATGTGTATTTGTTGACTGTTGAATCTAGGGTGACCTAAGGAGGCAATCTTAAATTGGTCCAATTCTCTTATTTCACAAGTGAGGAAACTAAGGCTCTGAGAGATTAATAATTGTTTATATCTATTTTTTTAGTATAAAAATGTTTCTTTAATGTTTATTTTTGAGAGAGAGCGCAAGTAGGGGAAGGGCAGAGAGAGAGGAGGAGACACAAAATCTGAAGCAGGGTCCAGGCTTCGAGGTGTCAGCACAGAGCCCGACGCAGGGCTTGAACCGATGAACCACAGGACCATGACCTGAGCTGAAGTCGGCCGCTCAACTGACTAAGCCACCCAGGTGCCCCTATCTCTCGTCTTTAAGAAAGACCTATTAGCAATTAGGTTTGGTGGAATGGTCTGGAGGGGCCTTAGAGCTGAGAGCTGGTACGAGGGCCTGTTGTCCTGCCCCTGAGCCAGCTGAGAGGACTGGCCCACTGGTGGCCTGGGAGGAGGTGGAAGAGACCCGGAGCGAGCCAGGAAGGCAGCATCTCTCTAATGGTGCAATCCTGGTGCCAGAGTGGGTCCTGAGGAGCTGAAGCCTAGAGGAGAACATGCTGCATAGAGAAGGGGCCCATGTCACGTCTTGGCGGGTGACAGAAAAGCCTGTTACACGGAGGAAGACAACACTGGCTATGGGACAAAACGAGAAATTCAGAAGGTAGATGGGAACAGCATCGACAGATGTGTACAGACGTCCATGTATTTAATACACCTTTATTGAGCACCTGGTATTTCCATGCTCCAGGGGCTCCGTGCGTAAATCCCACTCCTGTCACCAGTACCTGCCCCCCAGCCTGTGCACGTGTAAACCTGCCTTCGCCTCACATGGGGAGTGCAGGATGAGGCAATCCCTTGGCAGGGAACAGCTCTTGCCTCGGCTGATGCAGTCGTGATCACTTGCCTGTGTAGACGACCTGCCTGGCAGGCCTTCCTCCGGCCGGAGGGTGTGGGGAGGCAGCTTCCCTACATGAAGGGGTCAGGGGAAGTCTGGCGGTGTCTGACCTTGAGCAAGGGGTGGGGACCACCCTTGTCCCTGCCGGACCCTCCACCTGGGACTCAGGACTGCTGGGAAAAGCTGGCTGTGGGGGCACGCTGAGCCCTCTGAGGAAGGAGGCACTGGGTCACTGGGCTGTCCTGGCCTACCCATGGGTGGAGGCAGGCAGGGAGAGAAGCACGCAGCTCCTCCTCTGTCGCAGAGCCTCACATGGAGCCTGGCACAGGAGCCACACTCAAATGCAAAACAAAGGGGTTAATATGGCTGCGAGCGAGAGGGGCAGAGCCACTCCCTCCCTCTGCTGGGTCTGAGCAATAAGCAGGGGCAGAGCTTGGGTTAAGGAGCTGTTGGAAGGCCTGGGAAGCTGCGGCCTAGCAAAGGGAGAGTGTGTGGGGAGGGAAGTAGGCACGGGGCTGGGGGGGATCGGAGAAAGTGCTCCCAGCTCCCCTGGCAGTGGTGCTCATATCCTCTCCTCTTCCTCCCTTCCTCATCTAACCCAGTCTGCTTCAGACCCATAATTCCAGTTGCCTGGTGATATCCCAACCCCTGGAGAGATCAAGGGTGAATATAAAACACTCGTGGGTGTAGAACCAGGCTTTTGTCGCCACCCTTCTCCCACATTCACTCCACTTGTCAGCAGCTGGGGGGGGTTGCAGATAGCAAGCAGCTCTCGGCAAATGCTCTTGTTCTTCGATTGCCTCCTTTCCCTCACATCCGTCAGTCACAGGGTCTTGACAGCTGGGTCTCCTAAACTAATTCTTAAACCCTTCTACCGCAAACAGCTCCCTGACCTTTCTGCGACCATCCCGTGTGTCTTCAATCCAACCTCCGTGGCCCTAGAATGATCTTATTAGGAAGAAAAGCAAATCAGGTCACCGCACCACCCTACACTCCCAAGCGCAAACCCCTTAGTGGTTCTCCTCGGCCCATGAGTGCGGTTCCGTGGGTGTGGCAGACGCCTCCTCACGCGAGCCTCCACCTACCTTCATGCCTCTGCTCCTCTGGAACCTGAAGCCCGCAAGCCCTCTGGTCCACACCTGGACACACACCTTCCCGTCTGGTCTGCTTGGGCTCAGAAGCCTCATGCTCCCTCTTAAGTGTTAGGTGCACCTCCCTCAGCACTTGCGCCGCAGTCCCGGCATCATACACGCCTCTCCTGCCTCACAGAGGTCAAGGGGAAGGACCACATCACACAATCGCTTTACTCCCTGCACCTAGCACAGCCTCAGGGAGCGTGTGTCAAAGGGAGCAAAACAGGGAGGGTGGTTGGCAAAGCAGGACAAGGTCCTCTGTTTAGACTTTGGGTTGTGACAAGATCCCTTGGAGGGGGAGACGCTCCTTGACCTCCAGTCACCAGTCCCGTAGGTTTCAGTGATCAAGTTCTCCATTTGGAAGATAAATATAAAAATACTAGTATTTGTTAACAAGTCCTTGTTTCTTCCAGTAACCTTGGAGGCAGTGTCATCAATGAGGCTGTCCTGAATCTGCTTATGGCCGGGTGGTCCCGGGAAGACATTAAGCTGGACCACTTGGTGCCCCAGCTCGAGGCCGAGATTGCCAAATCCACAGGTAACGGGCCCCCAGCCTCACAGAAGGCTGTATGTGTGGGAATGTGGGCTTCTGAGGTTGACAAGGCACACTGTAATCATCTCATTGTCAACTCCAAGTAGGCACAAGAGGGCCTAAGAAAGCCCAACTCCTTTTCTGAAAATGCCGTGAGAGAGAGTAATTGCCCCCCAGCCCTGGGACTCCAGGCGGTGGTAGAAGCCTGTGGACCCTGAGCAAGAATCTGTGAGCTCAGTGGTTCATGCCTCCAGCCACCTTCTGCTTTCTGCTGTCAGATGAAACTATAAACCTGCAGTCCTAGCCCCAGGGCCCCCTTCACCTGGGACACACTTTCCCTAAAAGAAGATGCAGCTGTGTAGATCTGGACACAGGCTTTAGGGTTGGGGAACTCCTTAAAACTCCAGTTGGGGGTCAGCCCCAGGTAGATGCCATGTAACTCTGGTCTTGATTTCAGACAGTGGCTTTGGCCAGAGCCGTCTTGTCAAAGAAAACCTGATTGACTTCTTCGTCCCCTTCCTGCCGCTGGAGTATCGCCACGTGAGGCTGTGTGCACGCGACGCCTTCCTGAGCCAGGAGCTCCCGTACACAGAAGAGGCACTGGACCAAATTGCCAAGATGATGGTGTACGTCCCCAAGGAGGAGCAACTCTTCTCTTCTCAGGGCTGCAAATCTATTTCCCAGAGAATTAACTATTTCCTGCCTTGACTGCAAGAGGAAGACTTCCTGAAGCCACCTGCCCTCCTCTAACAGGGCCCACCGGGGCAGGCTGGCCTCCCGAGGTCACTCACCCACACAAGGTGTGGGAAGAAGGCGGGCCTCAAATCAGAAGCGGAGCCAGTTCTTTCAGTCACTTGGTGCCTTAAAAAGCCACATTCTGAAATGTGGGCCAGGTGGTCGGAGAAAGCCACATGGAAGATACATCTCAGCTCTTGCTTGCAGACGCCTGTGACTGTGGGACCCTTGGTGACAGGGAATGGAACAACGGAGCTGCTCAGGTTTACGGGACGGGTGGCTTAGTTTTCAACTTGTTCCCCAAGGGAAGCTGGGTAGCTTCTGTGAGCAGATGAGCAAAAAAGCCTCAGGCTAAAGGAAAAAGTACACAGAAGAATTATATACATATATATAGATACATATATATATCTATATATATGTATATATAAATCATGTCAGCATAGGTTATGACTAATTCTCTTGTAAATCTAAAAGAAAAATTTAAGTTAGGGGCTTTGACATGCCTGTGTCATATATATAAAAATTAAAATTCTGTATTTTTCTAGAACCCTCAGCCTGCTTTCTTACTGAGACCTAGTAATCATGCTCACCCAGCAACATTCCCAAAGCCGGGTCCTACTGATAGAGACGTGCTGGTGCTCATGGAGCTCACAGGGCGAGTGCCTGGTCAGCTGAACCGGGTTACTTCAGCCTCTCACTGAAGACGCTTTCACAGCGTCTTGCTCTTGTGTATGAAAACGTCACTCCCAGGCTCCCAGCTGTAAAAAGAAAAAGTCTTTTTTGAGGTTTGAATGGCCACGTATAAACGCATACACTGTGCCTCTAGACACCCAGGGGCTGTGAGTTACGGGTCTCTTCCCTTCTCTTGGTTCCTTTGCTTTTCTGGAATTGCACACGGGTCTTTGCTCTTACATTTGTCATCCCCTCAAGTAGCCCCTCTTATTTAAAGCCCTCCGCAACCGTCTTACCTTTAGCCCTGGAAAAACAGAAGGCTTCTGTCTCTCTCCCCTTTAACACTTTACTGCGCTCATTTACTCAAGGCTCGGGAGTACCCAGCCTGAGCCACATCGCAATCTCAGTACTCAAATACGCGACTAAAGCCACTTTTTTCCCACCACCTACGGGCCCGCAGTGATCTGGACCTCACTGCACAATAAAATGCGGCGGGGGGTCAGTTTTCGCTCCTGGCTCACTGGCTCAGTCTGGAACCTTGGGAGGAAGATGCAGGCAACCTGATGACTTGGCAGCCCAGCTCTACACTTTACAAGCCATACTCTCCAGGTTCTGGAGCCACAGAACGGATCACACTAGCCACGCGTGGTGTCGTAGATACAGGCTCTGACCCTCTTCTACCTCCGGGACCACGACAGGTGGCAGAACGCGGTGGTTCTGAGCACTTCTCTGGAGCCACTGGCCGGGCCAGAGTGCGGCAGCTCAGCCACTCACCACCTTGAGACCACACAAAGCCGAGAACTGCAGTCAGACTTTGGCTTCTACTTGTGTAAAAACGAGCATAACCGGACTTACCTCACAGGGTTGCTGTCAGGATAAAACGAGTTAATATTTATAAAGTGCTCAGGACACAGTGCTTTGCTGTTTAAGAATGATAAAGTAGGGGCCTTTCCCTGGTCCTAGTCCTAGTTTTAGGAAACTAACGTCTGAGAACAGCCCACGATGCCCTATGCTAAGCACTTCGGAGCCGTTCCCTCTCGTAATCTTTAATACCACGACTTAAGTGACCGCTGTCCTCGTTTACTAAACGGGGACCACCGGCCCTGAGAGGGCACAGAGGTGCGCCGGAGGGGCTCGGCCCAGGCGGTCCCGCTCCAGCTCCTATGCTTTCGTGACTCATCCCTAAAGCGGCTTTCCTCAGCCAATGCCACATCTTCGGCTATGCAAAATGTGACAACTTCCACAAGAGGGAAGAATCCCAATGGAAGGTTCTCCTTGGGATTCTCAAACAAGATTTCCCAACTTGACCAAAACCGGGCAGGAGAAAAGGACTGAAGACAGAGCGTGAGGGCGCGTAAGCGGAGGCTCAGCAGCCGCGGTACCCGGACCCTACACGTGCACCCCTTGAACCGAGCCTGCTCCTACCTGATCCAAACAAGGACTCGCGTTTTTAAAAACCTGAAGACCTGTGACATTCCACACGACCTGTGAAAGACGTTTTCGAATTTATTTGGAGTTGTCCTCAAAATGGACTTTGACAGAATGAAGGCTCAACTCACTTTACGGTCACCTCATGTTAGATACATGCACGCACGGACACACGTTACCCACCTTATGAACCTGCTGGGCTCCAGATGATGCCTCTGGCCATTTCCAAAGAGTGTAATCCATCAAAGAATGGGTATTCACTCCCAGAGAGGACATGCTGAAGAATGTGCCAGAGGGAGGTTACTAAAATCGGCTTCTTTACCTTACAGACATCTATTTTATCGTAGAGAAGGATAAACTCTGCGCAGATCCGCTCAGGTAAAATTGTGGGAGAAACACTCCAATCACAAGCCTACTTTGCCAATAAAATATTGCAACCTTTATTTAAAATAAAACACAAGTTGGCAAGCCTTGTGAGACAACAGGCAGACAGCATTCCCCTTTCAAGGGCCTCATTTATTTACATCAAGTTTAACACTGTTAGCAGTTCACAGTCAGACAACAGGGTGAGATAATTAAATTAGAAAAACAAAACACCTGAAAATATATTACAAGAACAAATACCTGACAACACTGGTAGTGTGACCCATGATTGATGTGTTTTCAATTAAATCCCATATTGTCTCACTGTGTCCCCTCAGCAACGCACACAGCGCTAGGCCCTCCGGACCTCTCTGTGCACCCACCACGCATACACCTGTAGGGCGTGACCTTTGGTATAAACGTTAAACAAGTTTTAAAGACTCTGAATCATATTTTGTAGGACAAAGTTCTGTCAACCACCGTGAAAGGTTCAAACTTATCTTTGCCAAGCGAGCATAGCACTGGGTTCCTCCACTGATAGTCATTACAGAATCAGATTGCAAAAAGGAAGTGTGGGGTCCGCCCAGGAGACAGGGGCGGGGGGGAGTTCTGAGTATGCATGAACAGTTCGGTCGGCCTGTTCACGGCAAACACCCCAAACCAGGGCACTGCTTCTAGTCACCACAGGGAAAGATCTGAGTAACTCCTCTTTCACCTACTCCCCTCCTTTGTCAGCACGGCAACGGGGTCTGTACATAATGTGGACGTAACACATACCCTCTATATAGATCCGAGATACGAGGGTTTTCAAACATAGGCCCTAATGAACTCTGAGATGAGTACCTCATTGTCCTTTCTAGTGTCTGAATCCTAATTTCTCTGAAAGACAATCACCCTAATCAAGGTGATTTCTCCAGATCTCAGAAAACGTCTCATAACGGAATCCCAAGAACAGTGGCCACAGTGAAAAACGGCTTGTCAAAGTGGAGGAAGGCTGGCTTACCTGGCCTTCATTCAACCGCCAGAAACATCTCAGTCTCTTGGCATCCTTGCCACTCTCAACGCATGGAATGGTACTTGTGAACTGTGCAGAGCAGTATCTGGGACTCACCAGGGACGGCACTAAAGCACTGCAGGATCCTACAGTATCTTCTTAATCGAGAATAAACTTATCCGGCACACCTGTGTTCCTGCTGTTACAGCTGATGAAAACCATCCTTATAGGTGAAAATTTTATTAGTCAGAAGTCCCGTTCTCCAACTGAAGTTCATGGTTGAACTTAATGGCTTAATTTCACGTTTAAAACTTGTATCCGGAGGCTCAGAAACAAAGCTAATCAAGCTCCAACGACACCATCCATTTCCTTTCTTAAAACCTGCTAGCTTTGGACAGTTCACCTCCACCATGTCCTGAAGAGTTAACTGGAATGCTCCCAAGACCTCAAGGCCTGTGTGTACAGCTCAGTAGCCTGGAGTAACGTGCAGGACCCAGAAATTTGATCCTATGAGTAACATGATGAACAGAGAATTTCACAAAACAAACACAGAAGGATATATGGGGTGTGGTCTGAGGACAAAGTGGAGCCTGAACTTGTGACTTAAAGCAGACACCCTCTTTCCCTTAAATGGTCTGCAGGTTAGATCTGTTCACACGCCATCTGTGACCTTGGGCTGTTAACCAGGGCCTTGCTACTTAGATTACTCAGCAATGGGAAAATTAAAGGATGTAATTTTTCTGAGAGAGGTAAACAATTTCAAATTTATAATTGTACACAGGAGCAAAGAAGTGCGCTTGGGGGCAGGAAGGGTCCAGTTACAGCAACCTTCCCCCAGCTCACCAAGCGGAACAGAGAAAGTGCAGTCCACCACATCAGCGCCTGGTACGGAGAGAACATCTCAGGCAGGGACTCTGGCTGCTGGTGGGGCTTTCAGCCACCGCCACCCACCTACCAGTTCTAGCTCACTAATCGTGCAACATCAACCCAGCTTATGAGTCTTTCCTCCGCAAAACACACAAAACCCATCTCTGAAAGCACAATCCTCAGAGTGACCTCTCCCACTCCAAGCCAGCCTAGAGTCAAGATGACCTGCCTGGGCCTCCTCACCCAGGGAGGAGCATGCAACCTTCCCACCCTGGTTATCCCAGGGTGGAGCCCTCCCTCACTTCCTCTCCTTTGGATCTAGGACACGGAGTCAGAAATGAAGGCAGTATCATCTTACGCGTGTCATCTCACCATGAAACACACACCTCAGGTATGGCATGAAAAACAGCAGCCCCAGAGCAGAAACTCCTCTTTTTGTACATTGCGTAAACTTCACACGAGAGAGACTGGAGCTAAGACAGTCACCTGGGCAGATGCTCTGCACAGTGGCCGGGTCCACAGCCCTGAAATCCACCCACACCTCCCGGTACTACTCGGCAGGGAATGGCAGTGACCTTCTGGCTTCAACAGAGCAGGTGTAACAATAATGGTTAATCCAGGCACTCACCAAAAGCAAGCCTTGCATGTGTTTTTTTCAATTCTGGTAGTTGGAAAACTGGAACTCTAGCCAAAAGATTTAAATATCCTGACTGTTAAGAGCGGGACAGGTTTTAGAACCCGCCCACGGCCTCTCCCCTGTCTAGTGAGGCTATGGCAGGCAGCAATTTCCTGGGTGGTCATGCGGAAGGTACGGATGCCACCCCTGCCTGCCTTTGTCAGAAGAGTATATCAGCTCCCTTGGAGGTGCCTTGCCCTATTTCTTTCCTGCTCCCACACATTCCAAACCCGAAGCAGACATTTACAAAAGAACTGAGCTTCTGGCTTGACAGAAGCTGAGCCTGAGATACAGACAGCTGGGGTCTATTAATTCATAAGAAACTTACATCCAGAGACTCATCTACTTAAGAAAACAAATGCTTAGGACACAGAGATGGACCCCAAATCCAGGTAGAACAAGTTAATGCCAAACAAGATGATGAAACCCCAAAATCATTATGAATAAAAATGCAGACAACCCTGTCAACCCAATGTGAACTCTCGTGGGGGCTTATCCTGATAGTAACAATGATGTCAGTAGCAAAAATTGGAAGGGAACAGGAGAGGTCAGAATGCAGTGTGCCTATAACTCAAAAGTGGCCACCAATGGAATTTCCTCTTGGGTATTTTATGATTTAACAGGAGAGTAGTGTTTACTCATTTTAGACAAAAAAAAAAAAAAAAAAAAAAAAAGAAAAAAGAAAAAGAAAAACCACACACAGATGAATATCAAGCTCATTTCTAACTGGCAGGAAATCCTAGAAAACTAATTCCCAAAGTGCACTGGTTCTACGGCCATCTGATCCCCACCCTTCCCCCACCCACCCGACCCCCACCCAGCCCCCAAAAACAACAAAACCACACTGGACGTGGGTTAAAAAAGACACTGTCAACATCAACAGGTAACGAGTCTGCTCCCACCACACTTAGGATGCTAAATGGCTGAACATGTAGTGGAGAAATGTTCAAAGATAAGAGGGCCTCAATTCTTCCTGAGTCAAGGTCCCCGGAAGAGCTGCTTTGTTCTGGAGTATACATTACTACTTTTTAAGGAGTATAATTAAACCAGAAAGTTGGTCCGTAGTTTTCTGAAATTATTCGGCACTGAGCTACAATTTTAGCAAAACACTCACTATACCTGCACATAATTCATTTAGCAGTTTCATATTTACAAATGCGATAAGTTATAGGGGTGATTATTTATATATTTGCATTTTCAGGTCCCCCACAGGTAAAAGCCTATTAAGTCAATCAGCATCTAACCGACTGTTTGATCTTCTAAACAGACAATACAACCTTACAGTTAAATTACATTTGATACTTTTCTCAAAGTGCTTTCATATACATTATCTCATAGTCATTAAAATGATATGGAATAAAGTTGTTTTGTTTTGAAGAAAAAGGAATGTAGGACTAGGTTTTTTGAAACTTAAGTTGGTATTCATTACAAAGTGCAGACTACTGCTGTGTTGCTGAGGTCTGTCCAAAAGAACGACCCCATATAATTTTTTAAATTACTGAGCTCTACTGAATGCCTGCTTTGCTAGTGTTGCCATTACTAAACATTCAAGCCCCTTAAGGTCAGAGAGTGCCAGGAGCGTGTGCTTTAGAACGTGTGCAGCACTGTGCAAGCTGATTGTCTATCTGAGCCACTTTTTCTGCAGTGTCTCACAAGGCAGCAGGAATGGTGGAAAGACCCCACAACCAGAAAGTCAAGAGACCTGAACCCTAGCCTAGGCTCTGTCACTAATTAATTGAGAAAATGGGCAAAGAACTTAACCATCCTCTCTTCCAATTTCTTAAGCTATGAAGAAAAGGGTTGGGGTACTGATCGTGTTCAGGCAATGCTGAGACACACGGAGGGATTCTTGGAAAGCACATTTGCTGAGACCTCGCCCCACTGGGAATTCTGATCTGGGGTGAGCCAATGCATCTTTTTTAAATCCCAGGGATTTTGCCACACATCCCTGGCTAAGACTCGACTGGACTAAATGTTTGTTAATAGTAGTAGCAGTTAGCATTTATGGAGTGCTCATTATGTGCCAGGCACTCAAGCTAAGTATCTTACACACATTATCTCATTTAATCCTTACAAACAACCCTGAGGTAGTTACTATTATTATCCCTGTTTTCCAATGTGGAAACTAAGGCTCAGGAAGGTTAAATGACTTGCCTTCTAGACTGGCTTAGAGTCTCAACTCTTAATCACTATCTATACTGTATCCTTTAAAACTCAAAAGCTCCATGACTTTAGTTAAATAAACACAGACTGTGCCTTAGCAGTCAGCATGTTTTATTAACTGGGCACTATTTACTAGCCAATTTTCAATTGAATTGTAAGAAAAAAATCTAATTTAACCCCCATAATTAGAGCTGGGAAAGGGTCTTACTATAATGACGTCAATGTATAGCGGTCATCTGGAAAAACACTGGATGAATTTCGTAGGGCCAATCTTTTTTAAGGCTAGATCTCTGAAATTCACAATGCAAGTCTGTAGGAAAATATACACACTTTAATATTACACAAAGCCTTTTAAGAAAATACTTCATGTAAAGCACAATCAAGATGTATTCTACACAAAACACTGCATTTTAATGTAAGAAATCTAAGCTGAAATCATATTATCTGTACATGAAAGGATCCAAGCTGTGACAGCCCAAAAGTATGCATATATATAACCACTTTAGAAAGTTTTCAACACCTTGAAGAAGGGCTCTCGCTCCCCTGCTTTGCTTTTAAACTTGATAATGTTTTTTAGTTTCTAGAAGCAGTTTTCTCTGCTGTGAACTGAAACTTTTAAATTTATGTAAGGTTATTTTTAAAACCTGGTCCTTTTCAATTAGAAAGAGGAACAAAATCTAAATTATACTTTCATAGTAAGTTGACAGTGCCTCTTTAACCTGAGCCCTGAGCCCACAACTCCTGAAGTCACACAGTTCAAGCACCGTGTGGATGGGGTGTGCTACAATAGTTAATGCTACTCCTGACAGTGTTGGGAAAAAGCAATCCATTTCATGAACTTGTCGAGCACCGACCGTAGGCAAGACAGAGCCAGGTGCTGCCCCTGAGTAAGACACAGTCCCCACCCTCAAGACTGTTCTGCGGTGAGGAAACCGGGGAGCTTACATACACTCAGTAGTGTTCCTCCAAGGGTTATTTTCAGAGCTCTCAAGGAAAGACCCCCTGCTTTAAAAAAATAAAATAAAATAAAAATCCCCTGAAAAAACAACTACATAATTAATCCCTCAACTTGCATCCCACAATGACGGATAAACTTAAAAAGCAGCATAATATTCTAAAGTTTTAGCTTTCCCTGCCCCACCCTTAAAAGGCTAATTGCTAAAACAATTTCAAGTTTGTGGAAATGACCGATGAAGGGGAGTGGCGACGAAAAAGGTGGGGGGACCGTGGGCCTCCATCCAGGCCACAGGGAACCCTGTCTTCACATCCAGCCACTACAAGAAGATGAGCCAGATCACCAGTTGCCTGCGCTGCACCTGCAGGTAACACACAGAAGGGGCTCACGCAAGCCAGCCAGGGAGGCCCAGGACTGTGTCCTCCCTCCTTACCCTTCTCGTGGCCTGGGCCTCCTTTGGAGCAGCCATAGTAAAAATCAAAGTTTTCTTTCTTTCTAGTGAAAACTAAACTTCCTCCTCAGTCAAAGATGACAGACTCTGTCCAAAACATAGTTTTTCCTCCTTAGTATTCTAGCCCAGTTAGCATACTCTCAGCAGTTCTAAATTTCCATGATCTGCCACTGAGCAAAGAGAATCAAAGACCATTCACCGTTAACGACACTGCACTGAAGCGGCTCTCAGGGGATAGCTATATACTTATTTGCAAAACACCCTTGAGAAGATGTATCATTACCTTCACTTAACAGATTAAGAGACGGGGCTGTGGCCTGACAGTGGACAGATCGCATAGCTAGGAAGAGAACTCACAGTTCATCAGTGTTCAATTCCTATCTTCCTAGGTTAATACTCCTTTAGGAGGAAAAAAATTTATTCTCCATGCCCGGGCGGGCGGGGGGGGGGGGTCATAAAGCTCTAAAACAAGAATGAAATGTTAATTAAAATTAGACCTGATATCAAGAATATTAACCTGTAATCAATTAGGTTCGGTACCATACGATCCTATTAGCTTCCATGATTATCACTGAATAGGGAAGGAACAGGCCTATTTTTCAAGGGCAAAACATATTGGAGGGTTAAGTCACTAGATTTTTAGGATTTAATCAGTGTTTCCTGGGAATGACCTGCCCCTTCAATTATGCATTCTTCAATAGAGGTGAAATGACAAAATAAATATCAAAGAATAGTCCCAATATGATATTTATAAACAAGCACAACAATGAGGGGGAGGGGGCATGTGAAAGGAGAAAAGCACATGAGAGCGATCTGGGGGAATTCACCAGAAATCCACACAGAGTGAGAGACTGTTTCTTCCTGCTCTCTACCTAGCCTGGCTCTAAGGTGATAAGGAAGGAGAAAGGTACAGAGAAACGGCCACTGGGACCAAGCCAACCTCTCCGTTCAGTCACAGACCTCTGGCCCTGGCGGTTGAATTCCAAGAAGAGACCTCTCTCCTGGCATTTTAACCGGAGAAGGAATACACAGCTGCTCAATCCCGTGGCGGGGGTGTCGGCGTGCAGGGACCCTATATCAGAAAAGGGTTCCCAAGAGAACCTGGTGACCGCTGTTTTCAAAACCAACTCTGATTAATGCCCTGAATGCTGCCAGAGATGAAGGAAGACGGCCCGCCCAGCAGAGAGCAGAGAAGAACCACTGAGGAGCCCCCTATGCCTGCTGTTGATAGACAGACGCCAACAAGCAGAAAGCCACTCGTGGTCCACGAGGAAGTGACATACTGGACTGGGAGAAGTGACTTCTCATTGGTGTGAAGCCACGAGGAGGAGGTCTCACTCTGACCACTTCCTAGCATCTGTTACTTCCTGCCCCGACTAATGCACCAATGGAAAACGGGACCGGAGCAGGCTCCAGCACCCGGGTCTGCAGCTCTTACTCCAGCAGTGACCTTGTGGAAAGAGCGGCTTCAAACAGCCTCGGTGAAACTTCTCTTGGTACATTCCCAACTTTCTCTTCTGTCCCACCCGATTCATTAGGTGAGCTGGAGCAGAATCGCCATTAGTACCTCCAGGGGCCCCAAGTCCATTCCCCTCTGTGGGGTGCAGAGCGAGAGCCAGAGGCAATCCACCGTGTTGGCGCCGTCCCGCGGCCTTGCCGGGAACAGCCCGTCACTCGCTTCTTCGTGGTGGGACCCGCACGCGTCTCCTGACGCCCCAGCACAGCTTCCACTCCCGTCTGCTGCTGCTCCGCCCCCCGCCCAACTTCCCTGTCCTATGTGTCTGCTTTTTGTTATTTTTGAGATGAACCTGTAAACGTGAGAACTCAGAGATCTGAGGTACTTCACATAAACACACTCAAGTATCAGTCTTTCATTCTCTGAAAACAAGAACACAGGAAAACAAGCCCCTCTCCCTCTCCCCTCAGAAACGTGAGCACCTTCCCACTAGGCTAACAGTGGCTACCTCTGCACCACATCACTGATCTCCTGTACACATGACAATAAGTTATTAAGGACAGGGTTTGCCCCGGGCACGCCAGCAGCTGCTGAAGACACCTGCAGCTCCTGCAGGCTGAGTTCCAGTTTGCTCACAGCCTCTCGGAAGGCGAATTTGTTGCGAGTCTGGGGGATGCAGTCCACATAGCCTGAGCAGTAGTCGAGCAGCTGGTGTCCGGTGTCCACCAGCTGGCTGTTGGGCACGGGTTCCGTGATTGCACTGGACAGTAGGTCGGCACATTCCAGCAGGGCCTCCTTGCTGATTTTGTCTGCTGAGATTTTCTCAGCCGCCTGTTTGGTTTTTCTCAGGGCCACTTTAGTACCTGCTGTGCCATTAGCCATTTTGGCCGGCGAGATGGAAGAGGTGGGCAGAGGCACTTGAGGCGGAGGCATCGCTGGCCTCCCAGCTTTCCCACTGACGGGCACTGCCCCTGGAGCTGCCTTCTTCCCTCCTTCCGGTGTCTCTGACGTGGGCTGTCCTGCAGCGGGGGCGGTCGGCTCTTCCGTGGGGTCTGAGCACACGGACGGATGCTGCAGTAGTCTCATCACGGGTGGTGGGGGTGGGGCACACTTTGGTTTTACCCGTCGGGGTCGGTCCTTGTCTCCAGAGGATGTGACCTGATGCTCAGATAAGAGTTTGAATTTATTGCCCTGAGAGTCTGTGCCAATGAGCTGCACGTCAGCTGGAGTGTGCTTCAGAGTGGGTGATATGAGGACTGGCACTTTGTGGTTGTGAGTGGTCGGGAGGGCTGCTGCAGCCTTGGCCGGGGAAGACCAGCCTGTCTGCTCGCCATCCTCTGGGACTCCAGCCATGCCAAGTCGTGCTCCGCCATTCCTCTCCTTGCTCTTTGGGGCAGCTGCCGCTCCAGCCACCCCCACCCCCGGAGAGTCCTTCTCTGTAATGGCTGGATCCCCAGAGGGGGTTCTGAGAGGAAGAGCTGTGGCTCCTCTAGGCAAAAGTTTGGCTTTTGGTCTCTCCCTGCTTGGAGCAGCACCTTCCTCTGACTTTTTTGGAAGCATGTCATTGGCCCTGTCCACATTCTCTTCTGGCTGAGAAGAGGTGGACACTGTCCTTTCCAGCTGGAGTTTGGACCTCTGGCAGTTCCTGGGAAGGGTCATTGCCATCCTATCCTGCTCTGGAAGCCCTGAGGACATGGAAGATGTAGAGTTTGACCTTGGAAAAGGCTTGGAAGTGTCATCACTGGCTGTGGGTTTACCCGCTCGTAAGCCCAGTGTCTTTTTGATTAAGCGTGGTGTAAAGAAGCCTGTGATGCCAGACCACCCACCCCCAGCAGTGCCGCTGCCCCCGCCCCCACCGCCATCGTCGTTACACAGGTTCCTCTGTGCAAAGCTCCCCCCATAGCACTTGGGTGGCACCAGATTCGCCTCTTGCTGGGCAGGAGTGAAAGAGAACCCATCAGCATGCTGTAGAGAAGCAACAGATGAGAAGTTACCCGTGAGTTCATATTTCTTGTGGGGTTGATTCTCCATTTCTCGGAAGGAGCTGCTGCGTTTAGGGGGTGTGGGAGCATTTCTCTTTTTCATGAAGGAGCTGAAGAAGCCTCCCTTCCTATCCCTGGTGAAGCATGTCTCTTTGGCATCTTCCAAGAGGCTGCTGGGTGACTTGTCTCTTTGTTTTCGAGGCAGTGCTGGGGACCCACTGGGGGCCTGTGCACCTCTAACGAACCCTGAGGAGAAATGGCCAATCACTAACGTGAAAGACAAAAAGTGACTCCATTACACTTGAAATACTAAGGTTTAATTTAATTGCAAGAGTTCTGTCGGCGTCTATTGGAAATCAGGTATTAGCAGGACTCAGAGGAAGCTAATCAATACGTTACCGCTTCACATTGCTGAGTGTTCCCAATACAACATGGGAAATAAATAGGAAGCAATGACCTACTCTCTACCTGGGCATTCGTCTTTTCTCTAAATGCTATAGCACACCCTGGCCTCAACTATCAGGCTCAGGGAAGCAGTTTTTGCCAGAAGTACACAGATGGTAATGGTCCAGGGTTTGAGAGCTGAGAAAACGGAGGGGGAGGCAGAGCTGTACGGCGGACGGAAAGATGAGGACTAACAACGCCGGCATTGCAGAGCCCCGGACCGGAGCAGGAGCTGAAGCAGACGCCAGCCATTCTCTCCTCAGGGAACACGGACGGGAAAACGGAAATAAGGCATCATACCCCAAGGTTCTTGAGACAAGGTGGTTTAATTCTACCTGCCTAGGGATCCGTACCTGGTGCTGAACTAGAGGCAGAATTTTCCGTGGCATCCTGTGTCCCTTCGATATTCTCCTTGTTCTCCACCTGTTTCTTCAGCGTTCGGGTCTTAGAAGGAAGTATAGGCAGTCGGGGCAGGTACGGAACAACAGACGAGGAGGAGGCAGCCCTCCCAAGCTCCTCGGCTACCTCTGTGAGGAAGACGAGGGGACTGATCAAAAACAATTTCATGACACAGAAAAGGAGGTTTTTGTTTCAGAAAAGGTATACAACGGAGGAAGAAGCTGGAGAAAAGAGCACTAAAATATACAAATGGAATCACAGAGCATGTACTTTTACGTCTGCCTTCTTTTGCTCAACATTGTGACGGCCGATTCCTCCATGCTGTTGCATGTAGCAGAGGCTCCCTCTCCCAAGTGTGAGCATACCAAATTAACCCATCCTTCTTCTGGTGGATATCTAGGTTGCTTCCAGTTTGGGGCCGGAAACGAATATGCTGCTACCGACACCCTGCTACATGTCTTTTGCTTCAGAATTGTATGTACGTCTGCTGGGTGTATACCTAGGAGCAGGACCGATGGGTTACAGGGTGCACATCAATTCAGCTTTGCCGGGTCCTCTCAAACTCTCTCCCAAAATGGCTGTAGCAATCTATACTCCCACTAGCCTTGTATCAAAGTTCTGATTACTCTGCATGCTTGCCAAAGTTTGATATTATCAGGCTTTTTGTTTTTGATTTTAGCCATTCTGGTGTAGGTATGTAGTGGCATCTTACTGTTCTATTCTGGACTTCCCTGATGATGAGTAATGATGGTAAGCATGGATTCATATGCTTTCATATTTTGGATATCCTTGTTTACTGAGTGCTTGTTCAGAGGCTTAATAAAGCAGATTTCTGCACTTAGTTTTTACATTGCACCTTGCACCAAGAAGGAGGGTGGACACATTTCATGTCATGCTGCATTTCATTCATAAAACAAATGAGGCTCCTGAAAAAGCATTCACTGTATCAGTAAGCCTCGGCTCATTCAACGTGGCTATGCGTTTTTGGGGCTTCTGCTGGGGCAAAGACATACTTTACTATTCACCCCTTAACAAAAATGAAGCAAGCAGGACTGATTAAACTGTGAAATATTGTGATTTTTTTTTTTTTTACAACATTTTGGTGTAACTATTTAAAAAATCAACTCCCCCACAAGAAGGGGCACATGGCATATAACCCAAGTCATGCCAGCGAGACTTTTCTTACACTGCTGCCTACAGCAGCTGGGAGACAGACGTTAGCTGTGAAGATATGACCTCGAGGAGACTAGCAACTGTGTCCCATACCTATTGGAAGATTCTGAGGATGAGATCAACCTAGAAGCAAAAGTAAAGTGATACTGGGTGGGAGAGGCTGTGAGAAGGAGGAAGTCCTGAAGCTACTTGATTCCGTGGCTTCCACTGACTCTGAGTTAGCACCATCCCTCCTTTCCCATGGTTTGAGCCAATAAATCCTCCCTTTACTGCTTAAGAAAGTTTGAGTTAGGTTTCCTCCACTCACAACTAACTAATGAATACAACTTTTTAAGGTAGGAACTGCGTCTTAGCTCTGTGTCTTCAGTATATGCTAGCCACAGATTAAATGCTATGATTAATAAAATGTGGATTAAAAGAATCTTAAATTTCTGGTTTAGCAACTCTCAACTGCAGTTAGCTTCAAAAATTGATAATGGTTGATTTTCCATAAGGATATAACATTTTCAAAGGAAACAGAACTATTTAACTAAGGATGCAACAGAAATTAGAAGGCGACACAAAAGCACCAAAGAAATGGAGCCTATGACTTCTACCACTTCAACTCCACACGAAGGAAAGCACACAGAGGAAGTAGAGAGCTGGCCAAGGAGCTGCTCAGTGTGGCCCAAAGGGCTGCCTGTATGCTCTGTGATGTATGTGCACAAGCTTCAGCTTACAAAGGAGTAGGATGAAAATACTTTGCTTTCAACCTCAGTATTTACTTTTCCCTTTGATTTTATCTGAAATGATAAGTCACTAATGGAAGAAGACAAAATTCAACTTGCCTGATTTCCTCTTCTAATATTTTGAAACCTGAACTTCAGTAGTGAGCTCTATGTTCAATTATGAAGGAAAGGAAAAATCTGAAAAACGTACGAAATTCTGGAGCTATACTGAAAAACCTGGTAAGAACACATAACTAAGAATTCTATGTTTTTAGCTCTCTAGAAATAGCTTCACTATATAACAAGTGTTTACTGTTTGACTCTTGCATGTAATTTTAGAAGCACTGTAATACCAAAGCAGGAAACTGCCTGTATGTATGTATGTATGTATGTATGTACCCATACACTTGTTTTCAGATAAGAAAAGGGCTCTGTTCATAGCTTAACATGCTCATTTTAAAGTATTCTCTATGTCAACATATTTAAAAATGTCATTTTAAACATTCAATTATAAGCATATAGTAATTAACAGCCCACTGGATTTTTTTTTAAATTTTTTTTTTCAACGTTTATTTATTTTTGGGACAGAGAGAGACAGAGCATGAACGGGGGAGGGGCAGAGAGAGAGGGAGACACAGAATTGGAAACAGGCTCCAGGCTCTGAGCCATCAGCCTAGAGCCCGACGCGGGGCTCGAACTCATGGACCGCGAGATCGTGACCTGGCTGAAGTCGGATGCTTAACCGACTGCGCCACCCAGGTGCCCCAGCCCACTGGATTTTTAAATTGTTCTTAATTTTTCAATATTATAAACTATACATCCTTGTAGCTAAATCTTTATTCATACTCTTATTTATTTCCTTAAGATCTACTCCCAGAAAATAACTTTCTGGATATTGGGAGGTTTTTTTGTTTATTTATTTTGAGAGAGACAGAGAGAGAGGGAGAGCACAAGCAGAGACAGAGAGAGGTAGAGAGAGAGAATGTAGGGCTTGAACTCACGAGCCACAAGACCATAACCTACCTGAGACGAAATCAAGACTCGGACACTTAACCAAGTGAGCCACCCAGATGCCCCCAAATTTCAACATTAAAAATGAGCAAGAGACATACACATTTAAAGAAAGCAAAACAAGAATAACAGAGGCCACAAATTAATTCAGTATCCTGAAATGGAGTCCCAAACTGCAGGAGTCTATAATTTTTAATGTTATTACCACCCCTACCACCACCCATGACTGGCCACCAACAGTGAATCACCAGATTCTCACCTTCAGAAATGCTGGAGTCATGGAACATGGTTTCAAAAGCCTGATGTGTTTCAGCAAAAGACGGCCTGTCGGCAGGGCTCCACTTCCAGCCTATGTAACAAAAGAAGGAACTAGTGAAAGCTCTTTATAAATTAACCATCCAGTGGCACACCTGAGAGGGAGTGCTGTGCATCATGGAAACAGCAGAGGCATAGCATGTTCACAGGTGTAGTGAGCCCACATCCTAGGGCTGGTCCTTCCATGTAGTCTTAGCTTCTGTCCTTTCTACTACAGGATAAAGAGGGGTGGGGAGATGGTTTCTGAAATGGAAAGTTTTCTTCTACTGGAAAAATGAAAAAAGTAAAACCTGTCTTCAAACTCATTCTAACCTTAAAATCAGCTATCCATATTCAGAAATATAACAGGCCATCAGAAAGGAGGAACTTAGAGTCCACTTTGACAAAAACAGGACAATAAGGAAAATAACAAGACTTATGCTTAAACACAAATGCAATTTAATTCATTACTCACCTTCCAGCTCTCTCATCTGTAGGAAGTCAGAGGCTTCTGTTTACTCATCAGAGGTTACTTTCAGGTATTCTCCAGAGTCTTTAGGAATCGTTTTTATCTAGTTGAAAGCAGCCTTCCTCTATCTAATCTCCAAACCCAAGTGCTTATTATCCTATTAAATATGCAAGTGGGCCATGGAAAACTATTCTCAGGATTCCAATTAAGACACAATGATTGGTGGAAACGCAAACTGGTGCAGCCACTCTGGGAAAACAGTATGGAGCGCCTCAAAAAATTAAAAATAGAACTACCCTACGACTCAGCAATTGCACTACTAGGTGTTTATCCAAGGGATACAGGTGTGCTGTTTTGAAGGGGCACATGCACCCCAATGTTTATAGCAGCACTATCGACAATAGTCAAAGTATGGAAAGAGCCCAAAAGTCCAATGACGGATGAATGGATGTGGTATATATATACACAATGGAGTATTACTCGGCAATCAAAAAGAATGGAATCTTGCCATTTGCGACTATGTGAATGGAACTGGACGGTAGTATGCTAAGTGAAATTAGTCAGAGAAAGACAAAAATCATAGGACTCCACTCATATGAGGACTTTAAGAGACAAAACAGATGAACATAAGGGAAAGGAAACAGAAATAATGTAAAAACAGGGAGGGGACAAAAACCTAAGAGACTCTCAAATAGGGAGAACAAACAGGGTTACTGGAGGGGTTATGGGAGGGGGGATGGGCTAAATGGGTAAGGGACATTAAGGAATCTACTCCTGAAATCATTGTTGCACTATATGCTAACTAACCTGGATGTTAATTTAAAAAATAAATTAAATAAAAAATTAAAAAAAAAAAGACACAATGGTTGGGCCTTCTGGGTGGCTGAGTTGGTTAAGCATCTGACTCTTGATTTCGGATCAGGTCACGATCTCAGGGTTGTGATATCGAGCCCCACATTGATTGGGCTCTGCACTGAGCACAGAGCCTGCTTGGTATTCTATCTCTCTTCTCTGCCCCTCCTCCCACACTCCCTCCCTCCCTCCCTCCAAGATAGATAGATAGATAGATAGATAGATAGATAGATAGATAGATAGATTCTCTTAAAAAAAAAAAACCTCAATGGTTTGTCATATATGCCAACTAGCTGATAAATGACCAACTCTTTATATGCCATGAGGTTGGTCACTCTAACAATACTGAGAGGAAAACTATTTCTTAGTATCACTAAGAATCACTGCCTTAACCTTTAAAATCACTGCCTTAACCTTTAAAAATTAAAAAAAAAAAAAAAAAAAAAAAGAAAACCACTCACAAGCTCTCATAAGTTCATAAACCTTAGGGGGGCATCCTTCAGGTTGTTCCATTCGATATCCTTTTTCCAGTAGATCATAGACCTGAGACAGGTCAATACCTGGATATGGTGACATTCCATACGTAGCAATTTCCCACAGCAATACCCCAAAAGCTGCATAAGGGATAAAAGAAATAAAAAGCTGAATGTTTCTTCTCTGATTTGTTATTTATTATGTACCATCAGGTAACTTCTCTTTCAAATTCTGCATAACATTCACACTGTTCATTAGTATACTCTTCTAATTCTTCTAGCATTCTGATTCTTACAGCTGAATTTGTCCTTCTAAGATATTTGCCACAAGAATGCTTCAGGTATAACCTCAAGACTTTTATTTAGATCTCCTTTACTGCAGTGAGGGAGAATAAATTATGATCATAAAAAGCCTAGGTCATAACTGAACTACTCTTAGAACAATCTATGATCTATTTAATGAGTTTCGGTTTTTAGATCAGCTAATATTAGGGGAGTAAAATAAAAATGGATTCATTTAAAATCAGAAAAAAAATTACGCTAGAAAAAAAAAAAACTGCTGGACTTGGTCACAGGTTATTTCTGAGTTTGAGATTCCTGATAAAAAGTCACTTCGTCTCGGTTGCAGATAAAAAGTGACAACTATTTCTGCTGGCCTACAACCCAAATTTCTAGACTTGTTCAGTCCACTGAGCATCCACTAAATCAGAATTCTTTTCAGTGGAACAGAAACAAGATGAGTTACAAGAGCAAATTCTAGATGCAATTCCATCACGCTTCCTTGAAAAGAGAAGGCGACTCTGCGGCATGATACTCTGGAAATAAGCAATAAAATCTAATAAGGAAAACAGGAAACTTTACAGAGAAAGGATCAGTAAAATCCAATGCAGTCCAAGATCTAGACTGTGAGCTCTTTGAAAGGACTTTTTTTTTCACTTTCTTCTTTACACTTTTTAAAAATTTATTTAATTTAAGTAGGCTTCACACCCAATGTGGGGCTCAAACCCCTTTCTCTACACTTCTTTCTATGCTAAGTACCTAGCACAATGCCTGGCAGACAGTAGAGATTTAATAAATGCTTGCTGAATGACTGATAAAGGATGGGGGTAAGGCAGAGTTTACTGGTCACATAAAAGAGAAATTCTGAAGAATTAAAGAACATTTATAAAAAAATAAAATGACAGGGGAGCCTGGTAGGCTCAGTCGTTTAAGCTTCCAGCTCTTGATTTCGGCTGAGGTCATGCATGATCTCCCGGTTTGGGAGTTCAAGTCCTGTGTCAGCCTCTGTGCTGTCAGTGTGGAGTCTGCTTAGTATTCTGTCTCTCCCTCTCTTTCCGCCCCACCCCTGCATGCAACGTCTCTCAAAATAAACCTAAAAAAAAAAAAGACACAGAAAAAGTCCCTTCCAAACCTTACCCCAAACGTCAGATTTAATTGAGAAGGTATTGTAGGCAAGACTCTCTGGTGCTGTCCATTTAATAGGAAATTTGGCTCCCGCATGAGCAGTATAGGTGTCTCCAGTCATCAGTCTACTCAAGCCAAAGTCAGCCACTTTTACCACATGGTTTTCTCCCACTAGGCAGTTACGGGCTGCAAGATCTCTGTGGGAAAGAGAACCCTAATGTGATTCCACTCCGACAGTGAGGAAAATGGTCACGAACACATGCTCTATTCTTAGTTCTTTGTGCTACAAGCAGAGTTGATAAGTCTGTGCTGACAGATATGGTAGTATTTTATGATAGCTGCTAACATGGTAGAAAGCCACTAATTATCCACCACTTGGAGAGTAGTCATCAAGAGGCAGTTATGTGATACTAGAAGAAAGCAGACTTCAGAAAATGGGTTCCTATTTGTAAGTACACTGGGCTAGGTTTCAGAGGTGAGCAAAGATGCTTTTCTACAAGGCTTTAAGTTCTTAACTGAGACGGAAAGCTTTTTTTAAAATTAAGCCATTAGATGGAGCAAAAGGCTCTTGGATATAATCCTGGGCAAAATAAAGAGCATTGTTTTAAGAACGGCAAAGGCTCCTCATTAATACTTTAGCCAGAATACAGTAGGTTTATAAGATGGAAATGATATTATAGTGGGTGGGTCCTGTGAAAGAGAAAATTGCTTCCTTGGGTCATCTGGAAATTTCCAGGAAGGTCCTCACATTCTTCTCTTCATTTGCACATCAAGCAAGGTAGCTTCACGGTTAGAAATAGCAATGATTGGGCTTTACACACCTATGGATGAAATTCTTCTTCTCTAAATACTCCATTGCAGAAGAGATCTGAGTGGCCATATAGAGCAGTACGACTGCAGTCACTTCGTCTCGGTTGCACTCTCGGAGATAATCAAGCAAGTTGCCGTAGGGCATGTACTCAGTCACGATGTAAAATGGTGGCTCCAAAGTACACACACCTGATAGTTCAAGAATAGAGCTTGTTTTATTAGTATAGATTCAAAAATTCCACACCACTTCGCCAAGAATAGTTGACAAATTTTAAAGTCTAGTTCAGTAGTAATCTTTTCCCTTCTTGCCATCACATTCTCTGAAAGTAACACAGCAAAGGTAAGTTGCTGGTTGAGAAGGGAGTCTCAGCTTCCATTACATCATTCTCTGGAAATCCACATGCATTTGAGCATTTGCCTGTTTGGGCAAAGGCAGAGTTACTTACATTAATTCCATAAGGGGTCTGGAAGACCAAAATTTCTGGAGTTCTGTATGTGCCCCAGATTCTGAGCCTCACCTGCACACTAACAATGTTTACCTGAAAGTAACAGCAATTGTGTATATGTTGAAAACTGTGTGAGCTCAGCCTGTATAAAGCTTTGTAAAAAGACTGCTTGGGGCGCCTGGGTGGCTCAGTCGGTTGGGCGGCCGACTTCGGCTCAGGTCATGATCTCGCGGTCTGTGAGTTCGAGCCCCGCGTCGGGCTCTGTGCTGACAGCTCAGAGCCTGGAGCTTGTTTCAGATTCTGTGTCTCCCTCTCTCTGACCCTCCCCCATTCATGCTCTGTCTCTCTATCTCAAAAATAAATAAACGTTAAAAAAAAAAAAAATTAAAAAAAAAAAAAGACTGCTTCCATAGTCAAGGATTTCACTGACCCAGGGTAGATTCCTTACAAAGAATCAACAAGAAGCTGAGGCACCTGCATGACTCAGTTGGTTAAGCATCTGACTGTCGGTTTTGGCTCAGGTCATGATCCCACGGTTTTGTGAGTTCGAGTGTCACATCAGGCTCTGTGCTGACAGCACGGAGCCTGCCTGGGATTCTCTCTCTCTCCCCGCTCTCCCTCTAAATAAATAAATAAATAAATAATAAAATATATTAATAAATATAAATAAATATAATAAAGCAAAATAAATAAAATACATATATATATTTTTTACTTAAAAAAAATTTTTTTAACGTTTATTTCTGAGACAGAGAGAGACAGAGCATAAATGGGGGAGGGGCAGAGAGAGCGGGAGACACAGAATCGGAAGCAGGCTCCAGGCTCTGAGCCATCAGCCCAGAGCCCGACGCGGGGCTCGAACTCACGGACCGCGAGATCGTGACCTGAGCTGAAGTCGGACGCCCGACCGACTGAGCCACCCAGGCGCCCCCATATATATATATATTTAAGGAAAAAAAAAGAATCAACAAGAAACTATTTCCTTTGGGACGGTTTGTCTTAACGTGAACACCCAAAGAAACTGGCCCTCCTTCAAAATGGGCAAAGAGTTCAGGCAACAATTTCTTTGTGACCTGAATAGCCTAGCATCTATCACAGCATAGCACATTCTATCACAGCATAGCACATTCTGCTTAGCAAGGTAAACTGATGAGTATGGTCACAATTTTTAATTTGCTTCTTTTCAACAGCTTTTCATTTAATTTCTCTACCTTGTAAAAATATTTTGTGACAATGTTTGGTTTGGCATCATTTTGAGTGGTTCTGAACTTGAATCTGGGGCAATTACCACAAGCTGGGCAGTTTTATATATTGTAATCAATCTAGGCCACTCTCTCCTGGGCAATTAAAAAAATTTTTTAAATTAATGTATGTATGTATGTAATCTCTACACCAAACATGGACCTCAAACTCACAACCCCAAGATCAAGAGTCAGATGCTCTACTGAGTCGGCCTGCACCCTGTTCCAGGGCAAATTTTTGTTTTTTAATGTTTATTTTTGAGAGACAGAAGGACAGAGTGTGAGTGGGCAAGGGTCAGTGAGAGAGGGAGATACTGAATCCAAAGCAGGCTGCTCCAGGCTCTGAGCTGTCAGCACAGAGCCCGACATGGGGCTCAAACCCACGAACCGCGGGATCATGACCCAAGCCAAAGTTGTACGCTTAACCAACTGAGCCACCCAGGCGCCCCGCTGGGCAATTTTTAAACACAGTCTGTTGAGTAAAATGACAACTATTTACTGAAGTAGATTTGCACTTGGAGCTTCTGCCATGGTGATTCAAAAGGAGTATGTGGAGACAATGGGGTTGGGAGACGAGCATCACTAAGGAAACCCATGGCTCAGAAGCTCCCTCACCTAATAGCTGTACCAGATTAGGGTGCTTGATCTCCTTCATCACTGCAGCTTCTTTCAGGAACTCTTCCACCTCCATGGTATCTTCCTGGAAAAGGTGGGGGGGGGGGGGCGAAGAAAACAAAACAAAAAAACAGAAGAGGGACAAACCCCCATTTTAATCATTTGAGTCAACGCACAATCCTAAACCTACAGCTTTAAAAAACTTCTTTCAAAAATACTTTTGAATATTTTAGCATATTAAAGAAATTTTATCAGAACCTAAGAATAGGCTCCAGACACATCCAATTAAGAAACAAAAATGCCCCTAAAATGTATCCAGTATTTGAAACAAAAGTGAAAATTAGCAGGGCAAGCAACGGAATATCATATCCCATATCCCATCACAAGGGAAACATGGCAGACCTGGATGGTAACTCAGTTCTCAGTTTACTTCCTTACACATCTCAGCCTTTGAAACAGGAGACAGAAGGGTTAGCTGTTTACACATTTGTCTTCCTGACACATTCCTTAAGGAGCAATGCACATGTGCAAAGCCATGCATATTGTCTCACACTCACAGTAGGCTTAATAAATGCTTGCTAACCAGAATGGATTACTACTCATAGCCAGAGCAGCCCTTATAAGTGATATGCCAGAGCTATGGAGGCAAACAGGAGAACCGTCAAGAGAACGGAATGAGTGACGACTGTGCAACTGGTTACTAGGATGCTTAAAGAAGACAGCAGCATGAGGAAGATTTCTGGGACTATTAGGAACAAGAAAAAAGGATTTAATCTCATAGAGATGGGAGGAGCATGAGGCAGAAAGCTGAAGGACAGACAAGAGAGCCCATGATTCTTGTACACTGCACCAACAATTCCGTCCAGCAGGGGTCCTTCTCAGGAAGCAAAACAGCTTGTCTTGCCTTTATAACTTATAATTTGCCTCCTAACCTTTCACTAAGACTTACATCAACAGCCTCCAGAGACAAACCTTCCCCACATGTGGGTTTCGCTGTGTTGCAGTGAATAATCTGCCCGTGCGTTGTCAGCAATGGCACTAAAGTTAATCATCAATTTGCTGATGTGCTTGGCATCAGTGGGTGGAAAGTGCTCCAAAGCTGAAGAAGGGCATGCTCCTATTTCCAAGTGATTCAGCACAAATGTAAAAATGCCTGGAAACTGTAATTCTTAGCAACCCACCTTCAATGTTTTCACAGCAACCGTAAGGCTATATTTCTTCCAGACGCCAACATAAACTTCTCCATACTGCCCACCCCCAAGTTTGTGCTTCATGGTAATATCTGTTCGTTCCATTTCCCATTTGTCATGGATGGGGGACACGCCATAGACTGTTGGCTTATTGCACTTGGGCGCTGGGTAATGTAATGTTGTCACCAGCCCATCCGCCACTGTGGAGTGATGATGAACCAGCTCCGCCAGGGTGCTAAAGCGGCTCTCGGCAGTTACATACACCTGAGGAGAAAGGCAGGAGAAAAGCTCCATCAACTTGAAAAGGGTCAGAAAAATTGTTTTCAAAGCCCATTATTTCACTGGTCTGAAGATATAAAGACAGGAGGCTATCTTATTGAGATAAATTAAATGATGATGGTAAGGAGAAACAGAACTTCAATTTACTCCTCCTTAAACTATTCTTCCTAGGCTTCCTAAATAAGCTCTAGTTTTGGGGGAAAAAGCTTCCAACGTATCTTTCTGAATCATCAAGATCATTGGTCTTCAAGTAGTTTTAAGCAACAAGACTGTGAAACCCAAATATGTTAGCAGCAGAGATGCTCTGATTAAAGGAGGCAAGAGGAAACTTGGCTTCCTGTAAAAGGTTATGAAATACCACATCAGAATCTTGCACAGCACCTGAGAACAACAGAGTTCAATTTTTTTGGTAGGGAGAGAGTATTTAAGTATCTTATAATTTTTACTTAATAAGGATATGTTTTTGAGTATCCAGGCCACTAAAAAAGGGCCACAATAGGGCAACTGCGTGGCTCAGTTGGTTAAGTGACCAACTTCAGCTCAGGTCATAATCTCACAGTTCCTGAGTTCGAGCCCCACGCTGGGTTCTGTGCTGACAGCTCAGAGCCTGGAGCCTGCTTCGGATTCTGTATCTCCCTCTCTTTCTGCCCCTCCCCCACTTGCGCTCCGTGTCTGTCTCTCTCTCCCTCTCAAAAAAAAAAAAAAAAAAAAAAAAAATTAAAAAAATAAATTAAAAAAAAGGGCCACAATTTTATTTCAGAGTGGTTAACAAAACAGTAGTTAATTTGTAATAATAAAAGTATAAAAGATGAGTAGTCTTCAAGCCCTATCTTCCAAAGGAGCTTGTTTATAGTTTTTTTTTTAATGAAACTTTTGGTGTATATAGAATAATACACAGTATACGCAGAATTGATGATTTTTACAAGGTGAACTCACCCATGTAAACCTCTCCCACACCAAGAATTGTAACACTACCAGCACCCTCCCAAATAAGCTATTCACCCCTTCGAAGATAACCATTCTGCTGACTTCTAGAACACCTTAGATTAGCTCTGTCTGCTTCTGAACTTACACAAATGGAATCATACAACAGGTATTATTGTGTCTGCTTTCTTTCACTCAACTTTTCTTTATTGTGATATAATTTGCATACCATAAAATCCACCGTTTTCAAGGATACAATTCAGTGGTTTTAATATATTCCCAAAGTTGTCCAACCATCACCACTATCCGACTCCATAACACTCCCACCCCCTCACGCCCATCCCTGACAGTCACTAATCCCTTTCACTCAGTTTTCCATGTGTGGCACTCAGCTACGACATAGGTCAACAAACTTTTCTGCAGAGAGCCAGAGATATTTCAGGCTTATGGTCATAATGCCTCTGTCACAACTATTAAAAGCTGCCATAACAAGGAGAAAGCAGCCACAGACAACATATAAACAAATGGGTGTGTATTTCAATACAATTTTATTTACAAAAATAGGCAACTGGTGGGCCCACAGATTTTCTTGAGAGTGTGCACAGCAGTACATTTTTTTGTTGTATGAAATTCTATTTTATGAATAAGCCACAATTTACTAATTCATTCTGTTGTTAGACAATGAAGTGTTTCTAGCTTGGGGCTGTTATAAATAATGCAACTGTGAACATTCTTGTACATGTCTATGTCTTCTATGTCTCCTATGTCTATGTCTACAACACATGCATTCATTTCTGTAAACCAGAAGCAAAGCTGCTGGGTCTCTCCCACATTACCACTCATCTGGTTCTATTTGGTTTCATCAAGAGACAGTAGGTCTGTGCGGTGATATAAAAGAGAATTAATCATTATTTCCTACTTTGTAACAGCCATTATGTTTTAAGGAAATTACTTCATTTAATCCTCATGATGACCCAATAAAGTGCAATGAGAAACAGGCTTATGTAAGGTCACAAAGTTAGTAAATAGACATGCTGGAGTTACGCACCAAACCAGGTCTGCCTGCTCCAAAGCCTGGGCTTTCCCCTACTCTGCATATCACACAGAGGGAAAGAGCAGAACAAATGATTCCATATAAATTTACTGTTCAGCAGAACTGACACAAAGGCAGGCCTCACAGTTTACGAAGTAAAACAGTTCCACTCCTAAGACAGCCACCCTGAAACGACTGGTCTTCCCAACGTGCACTCTGCTCAATGACTGACCTATTTCTATCAACACACATTCATACTCAGTCTCCGTCTCAGAAGCCCAGATTCTTACTTTGTGAACTTTGTGGCAGAGATTATTACAATTTTCAAAGACAGAAGGCTTAATCTAGCAATTCTGTACAACACACTGGATGTATATGTATATATCCGTACACTGGTGGTGATTAGAACAGCTAACTTAAATAGCAGTTTCTTCCATTCACCTTCAAATCTCTCATTAAACTATTGATATAATAGTGTTTTTCATTTCCATTACCATATTCTTATGTGTAAGCTCTAATGTGCCAAACAGCCCAAATTCACATCAGTGATTATTTTATTTCATATGAGTCATAAAAACTTATTTTTTAGTCATTCTGAGTGTTTTTTCTAAAGAACAGCCCATCCACGCCCAAGGTGGTACCGGCCAGTCTTACCTTGCCGTCTGTGGTGGTGTTGATCCTGTAGTGATACACACGGCCCTCGTACCTGAGCGAGATGGACAGCTGCCCAGGGCTGCTCTCACTCTCCCGCACCAGGAAGCTGCCATTGATCAGACTGCTGAGCAGGTACTCCGCAGCGCTGCGCGACACAGGCCCATGGTACCAGGAGTGTTTTTCCAAGCTGTTCACTGGGGTAATGTAGTTGCTTGGCACCCAACCTTGGCCATTCTTAGAGCGAACTTCACTCCACTCACCATTCTGGTTGTAACCAAGGACTCGTAGCTTTTCACCTGGCCATGACATCATCATAGAAGAGAAGAGAAGAGAAGAGAAGAGAAGAGAAGAGAAGAGAAGAG